GTAGTACCAGTCGAAGGCAGCTCCACGAAGGGTCCCAACGAATGACCAGATCATCAAAGGTTTATTGCTAGAGATCATGCCCAGGTGGGACATGAAATGAACCAGATGATGAGTGGGTGAACCTCTTCTGTTGAATGACGTAAAGTTAATTAGTTTGAACTTTGTCGGATACGGACATGATTAACTTTTCACACGGACAATGAGAGTCCGATTCCGGGATACTTCTCTTTCAAGATTTTCTCACACCCCTAGCCTGATAGTACAATTCTTTAGTGTTGTGTCTGAAGCTACCTATCAGCTGTTGACTTGATTCCCCAGGTATGACATTGTCAAATAACGAACACGTCTCCTTTTGGGGATGTAACGTCTTGTTAGCGTTCTTAGGAGTCGCATGTTTAGATACACCCCTTGCGAGTGTGGAATCTGAACGAGCTGTTGAACCTGGACACGCAACCCCAAGCAGGCGGTTATAGGTGTTTTCCCGATATGGGATAGCTTCGACTTGTTGGGAGGACTCGTACAACCACCATCCTGAATATTCATTTAGGATTCGTTCATCGGACCCAAGCGTTCTTTCACTAGAATTTTGCCCCTATCTTCATGTAGAGGACCAACGCGATCTGCCATCTTCATTTTGAATTTGGATTGGTCCATGCTACCATGAGGCTTAACTGGAGGTACAGGATCAGATGGAGCAGGATTGGAGGTTGTCGGAGGCTGAGAAGCACGTGCGGAGCTGAGACCAGGTGTGAAACACATCTGATTTAGATTTGGCGGTGTTTCGGCTATTTTTAGCATTGTTTTGGCCTTCGACACCCAGACTCGTTTAGATTTTGGTGATTCTTTGGCTGCCTCTTCCTTCTGTAATTCCTGTGCCTTCTATATAAGAATCCGTGCGTGCGCAAGAAGTACGCGGCGCTTTTCGATGCGCTCCTCATGGGTCGAACGAGCTTGTTTGATACAAACCCACTTCTTGGTTGAGGAGTCCATTGCTTGCTGTGGCTGTAGCTTAGTCGTTTAGCGCCTCCTAAATTCTAAGTCCGCTTGATAGCGTAGTCCATCCACTTACTCTAGAGCTTTGACGAACTGACGGGAAAGACTTTGGCGCCGCCTTTGACAAACCCTCTTCGTCAGAATTAGCACAGCTTCAACAGGTAACTCCTTGATTGATGAGGAGTTGTTCTCAGCATCAGATCTGGCTTGCTTAGGTGTCGAAGTGGTGATAGGGCGAGAATCAGCGCTCTGTGTCTTCAGATCCGAAGACCAACAAACCTTCTTGAACGAAGAGGTCTTCCTACGCTTGTGAGGAGAGGAGGATCTAGAGGAGGAGTATGAGATGTACTCCTCAAATTTCTGCTGGTCAAACTCATACTCGACCTCTACTTCAATCAGGATCTTGATCAATGGTTACGACACGACAGCCTCAGCAGTGAGGCTGTTGCCTCCCACTGTGGTCGCCAGCGTGTTTGCATCAGAAATTAATTTCTTAGTGGAATCCATTACAATCATTTATCAACTTTTACAGATTCAAAAAAGATGAGTCTTTTTATAAGACTTCTTTACACAAAAGAAATAGATCAATAATTCCTTAGAAATACACGCAGAGAATGTTTTTCACCCGCTGCTTGCGTAGGGTCTTTGCCTGTGCTGGGGTTTATCCATGGATCATCGCGGATCAGATCCGGTTGATTTTGTTGTCTCGCAAAGGAAACAAGAAATTGAAGTGAATGACTCAGCAAGGTGAGGCAAATACTCTTCTCAAGATCAAATCAAAGTTTGATCTTATGGGAAGCAGATAACAGGTGCTGAATGGTTGCAGATATGCCGAACTCCTCCTCCTTATGCTAAAGAACTTGTAGATCTCTCTTCCTCTGCTGTTCAAAATGACAGGGCTTCACCGATAGCTCTAAATTCCTAATCTCCCGTGTATAGGGGCCCTAGGGCTGTATTTATAGGCTTTAGAAGCATTGTTTTTAGATAAGAATGGATGATTTAATCTCATCTTCAGTTATAACCACTTAACCACGTTCAAAGATAGCTTCAAATCAATTGGAGAGGCTATGGACTGAAGGAATCCTGAAATCTCAATAGGTTTTTGAGAGGCTGTATAGGAAAATATATCTTTATCGGGCTAGAGGCACCGCTGGTGTCTCGCTCTTGGTGCGAGACACATTGGTGTCTCGCCCTTGGGACAAGACACCATTGGTGTCTTACCCATTGGGGGAGATGCCGTTGGCGTTTCTCTGTTGTTTTACCTTTAATTGTTTCGTCCGATCTTAGAATAAAATGATTCAAGATGCGTTGAAAATTTGGAGAAGAGATCTACAGTTTTTGTCTTTTGAGATTCTTCAGATTCGAATTGTATCATGGCTGAAATGTGTGAGACATCATCGGTGTCCTGCAGGTGTGAAATAGCCTGAACTGTCTCGGTTGTTTTCGCTCTAACTTTCTCGTTCGATCTCGGAATAAGGTGATCCAAGATGCATTGGAAATCTGACAAAGAGATCTAAAATATCCAATAGGTAAAATAGCTCTATCAGGCTTGGACGAGACACGACTGGTCTCTCTCCGTTATTTTGTCTCTAACTCTCTCATCTGATCTCAGAATGAAGTGATTCAAGATGCGTTAGAAAGCTAGAGGAGAGATTTACAACTTATTATAGGCAAAATACACATAGAGTAAGTGAGACATGAGTGACTCTTCATTCTTTGTGGGTGAAATGTAACTCTCAGTCAAGTCATTTCTACGTTATTTTGCCATCTCGTTGACTCGTATGCTTTGCCAAATCGCTTCATGCATTTGTTAGCTTCGTTACAAAACTAGATAATTCTCATTGACTTGGATAATAACGTTCATCATCTTTTCTCCATCTCGAGCTATGTGTAGGAACCTATAGGCAATTTTTAACGCCTACAGGACGGGGCAAACACATAGAGATAAGATATTATTTCATCGGATATTAAGTTAAAAAGAAGACTGTGATGCTGACATATTGCAAGTCTGAAGACCAAATCGCTGACATCTTCACCAAGCCAGAAACATTTTTGAAGCTTAAGAAGAAGCTTGGACTTGTGAGAAATGAAAGTTGGTGATGAGGAGGAGTATTAGAATTCCTCACCAACTTGGATTGTTCTAGAATAACTTTCTAGAACTCTTTTCTAGTAACATCCTACAAAATATCTACCAAGAAGTTTCTAGGAAGATACAAGTGTATGGCTAGTATTTATTTTTCTATAAACTTCTTAGTAATGTATGTCTAGGATTGACTCTTCCACACACTTCCTAACCCTCTTAAACAATTATAAATAGGGGTCTTGAGCTCTCATTTGGGTAAGCAAGTAAGCAAGAAGTGAGCTTGAGAGTTTGAGTGTGTAGTGTAGACTTGTGTGAGTGTCCACAAAAAAAAAAAAAGAGTTGTGTGAAAGTGAGGTGTTCTTGTAAGAGCAAGTATTATACTCTCTAGTGTTCTATCAAAAAAAAATCTTTGTGTAGAGGGGTTGTATTCTACAAATTCCATCAAAGAAACATTACCTAGCTGATCTAGTTCAATAACTAAAGGCTCCACCCAATCCTCCTGAACAGCGATTTCACCTCCATCGAGTAACTTCAATCAGCAACCGCTATAGCAGAAGCCACAGAAGTCGCTATCTCGATGGCTGATGACTCGAGTTAAGTACTCATTTCGGACACCGGGGAGGGTTAGGAGGTAGTGGTGGACGGGGAGTTAGACCTCGCCAACGATGTGAAGGCGGTGGCGGAGGAGGAGGTCGTAATTATGATGGATGCTGCCGCCGAGAGAGTTCTCAACGGGCAGAACGACGTGGTCGGTGATCCAGAGCTCGACGTCCTGGAAGGCAACCTCGAACTGGTCGCAGCAGGGAATGACCTCGCAGTTGGGGTACATAATTTAGGTGGTAGAAGTTTGCAAAGGAGGCGAGCAAGGAGTACCAGTGGGAGTGGGAGGGGAAGATTGAGGGTTTGGAGTCGGCGTTGATGCGGACGATGTGGGTTTTCTTGGCGGCGGGTTTCGGAGGGGAAGCTAGGGTTGAGAGGAGGAGGAGGACGACAGAGATGGGGGAGGAGGAGGCCATTGTTTTCTTAGGGGGTGGGATGAAGATTGCGGAGAGTGATGAGCGAGTTTTCATATAAGATAGCAGTGGTGGGTGATGGGAAGTTTTTGAATTTGGGGCATATTTTTAAAAACTAGGGCAACAGAATGTTTTATTTTTCTTTGCATGAGCCCTACCTTTCTAGACCAAAATTTCTGTCTAGGAAGATTGAACCCAGGTTTTTTAATAAAATAGTTAAAAATATTTTGCCTAGGAAGTATCCGTCTAGTAGACGGATGTTTTCTGTCGATATTGTCGTCATCTTAGATGGAAATTTTTTCGTCTGGGATGCTACGTTTTTTTACTAGCGCGTTATAGATTTTAGTAACAATATATGTATCCCAACGCATGTACGAATATTTTTGTTCGCCCCTACCCCTCGGTCATTTAACAGCAGAGACTTTCACTTTTCATCTAACTATCTAACAGAAGCCCTAATATAAGTTCATTCGGTCATTTCCCCCTATTTTGCTTTTTTTACTTAAAAAAAGACTTCTTTAAGAAGCTTTGAAACAAGAAGTTGTATGTCCAATTCATCTGATGCTAGAGAAAAATGTTATGTCAAGACACATTTAAAGGACGACAATATATACTCCAATTCAAGGTTGCACATTGACGCATAGAGAATTTCGAAACATTGTATTGGCACATAACATACTTGAAACTATATAATAAAACACTCTCATACATAACAGAAGACAGACTACCACATTGCGCAAGCCAAACTCAACAGACAGGAAGACTACATACCCAACACAAACCATTAAAGCTTGCTTGCAGCTTATTGACTCTCAATGTCTCACCCATAGCTAGATAAGACCTTACTTGATAATTGGCTGCTAAGTACTGTTGCAGCTTATTACATATTTTTATATGCTTGTAGCCGTAGTCTACTTGGAATCCTCAGCACATTTAAGAGTGAGTTTGGCCTCGTAAATAGCTGTAGTGTTGTTACCAATTGATACATAAGACTTGCAGCCTTCGTTTTCATTAGTCCACTGGAGCTTACCGTTATCGGTATTGTTTTGCAGTGTGTCCCATGAGATTTCTCTGTCGAAGTAACCAGCTGGGCGGACCAGAGTGTAGGCCTGCGTATATACAAACATTCAATTTGCAGGGTCTTGTGCAAAACCCGATTAACTTTGAGGGGTCTTGTGCATATATAACCCCCATGGACTTCTTTTATACGTTTTATAGATTACGTTTCACTTTAAACATGCATGTGATTTGCAAAGAAAAAAAAGCGAGATTAGACTTGATGATGCGCTCTTCTGAGGGTTGAAGTGTAAAATCGTCAAGGAGTTCAGTCGGATAAAAGAAGTCCATGAGGTTATGTGCAGAACTCTCGAGGTGGAGGGAGTTTTGTGGAATTAAAATTAATCAGCCAGAGCATTTTATTTTTGTTTTCCTCTTCTTTCTTTATTGTTTCATTTTTTAAAAACATAACTTAAACACATACCGTGCAACTGCCCGACCACCAAGGGTTCATCCATGAGAACATGAAATCATGGTCCTTCCCTGCATCATTCTTACCGCGATAGATGACAGCGGCCGACGATCCTGCCATCGCCCCAGAGGGATGGACGTGCAGGAAAGCACCCCACTGACCGTTCAAAAGAGATTGCGGGTATGGCGCTTTCCAGAGGTGGCCGTGCCAATCATGGCTATCTTGGAAAGTGATAGGATCGCCAGTAGCATTGTAGACCACGCAGAGCGTCGAGACTCCGTCGCCGTACTGCTCCTTCAGATTCTCCACATATCGGAGGGCGTTCACGTCCTTGCTCTCCGCGTGTATCATATTGAGAGCCTCGTGTGCACGATCGCAGCGGGTTATTGGTTTGTTGTTGTATTCAGGCATTGCTTTCAGAGTCTCATCGGTGATGGGGTTGCCGAAGACGTTTGCCGCCATGTCGCTCGCCTTCTGATGAGATGAGTAACCCCTTGTACTTTGTGTAGGTATTGGTTTGCGATGAGAAACTAGACAGAAGCACACGTACATATATACACACACCAGAGGCTAACGTTTTTGATTAAACGATTTTGAAAGACCAGGTCAATAGCTAGCGACAAGGACGACTGGGCTGTGGGCCCCAAAAAAGCTCCAGTCCGCAACAGATAATTTGGTAAAACTCTTCATATGGCTCGCCAAACAAGAAGGTGAATTGTATGTTCATTAGACATTTAAGCTGGCTTGGAGGTCCTATGCTTCTTTAATTATAAAGAAAATTATGTAATTCATTAATAATATCTTCTCAATTCAGTGGGCTCCTTATTGTTTATCTAAATTATATAAAAACTTTTAATTATAGGATCCATTCAAATAAACCAATGGTATTAGTCCACTTAACCAATTGTCATTCTCTATAATCAAGATTGCAAAGGATCTAGGCTCATTAGACTTAAGGTTCTAGTGGGGCAAAGATCCTCTATATTCTTAGTTGTACAAAATCTCTACAACTCGCAAATCTAATCTTCTCAGTCAGTGAACTCGATGAATGATATTATTTATCTAAATTATATTAGAATGAATTTTTAATCGTGAGATCCACTGCAATAAACCAATAGCATAAGCATGCAACCAATTGTAAGCATTCTCCATGATTAAGATTTTAGATAACTTGAACTCGTTGGGGCATATGCATGGTTGGAAACATTATGGATATGAATCCTCGATAATCTAGAAATTTTAGCATGTATAAAAAAGAAGTTGGGGTTCTGACGATTCGATCACTTAAGCGAATTGGGCTGGGTCTGAAAATTAGGCTCCACATAACCTAACAATCTCCCACTTGGAGACTAATTTTCCCATAGTATGCTACTGAAAAGCTTCAACATCTTCAGTCTTTATTATCATTCCTTGTGACGACGGCCTCCTATATTATCAAGTAATGAGACCAGCTGAAGTCGAACACAACTTTAGTTTCTCCATAGTGACCGTCTTCGTAAGCATGTCATTCGGGTTCTTGCTTCCTTGGATCTTCACAAGCTCCAACACGTCATCATCCAAATCTGACCTTATGAAGTGATAACGAACTTGTATGTTCTTAGTCCTGGCATGAAAAGGTGGGTTCTTTGCCAAATGAATAGAGCTATGGCTATCACAGTGCAAGACACACTTCTTATTTTTCTGTCCCAACTCCTCCAAGAAACTCTACAACCATATCATCTCCTTGCTTACCTCTGTCACAGCAACATATTCTGCCTCTGTAGTCGATAAAACAACGATCTTTTGCAACTGAGAGACCCAACTGATGGCAGGCGTACCCAATGTAAATACATACCCCGTAGTGCTCCTCCTCTAATCTCTCCCACCAGCAAAATCTGTATCAACAAATCCCTGCAGACCCAACTTGTCTCTCTTGAAACATATAAAATTCTCTATTGTCCACCGTAGGTACCTTAGAATCCACTTTACTGCTTCCCAGTGTTATTCTCCTGGATCTGACATGAATCTGCTCACAGCTCCCACTGCATGGGTAATGTCAGGCCTCGTACACACCATGACATACATAAGACTCCCAATGGCTGAAGCATATGGAACCTTCACCATATAGTCTTTCTCCTCATCAGTCACTGGACACTGCTCCCTAGTCAACCTGAAATGACTAGCCAAAGGTATACTAACAGCCTTAGCATCACTCATCCCAAACCTCTTAAGCACATGTCCAATGTGTTAGACCCCAGAGAGGGGTGATTAGGGACTTATGCTAATGAAATCCGATTTTATGTTATTTAAAACTAATTAACAAGTTATCCTAGCAATTATAAAATACAACAAGATATGTGAGCTAGGATAAGTGATATACACAAGGGTAAATAAAATAAACAAGATAGTGGATGATATAAATAATAAGCAATGGACAATGACGATAAGAAATATAAACATAAAAGAAGTGCGCCAAAGTAAACTCAAACACATGATATGATCACGGAGTTCGGATCTTCCGTCCTACGTCTCCGCTCCTCACTCCCGGGGAGAAATCCACTATCACAACCGGGTTTTTTTATGCTTACCCGAATAACGTTTACATCTCACAATATCGGTTTTTAACGCTCACCGATCAACGTTCACAAACACTCACAATGTCGGTTTTCAACGCTCACCGATCAACGTTCACTTCTCACACTCGGTTTTTTAGCTCACCGAAAACTTTATAACACTAACAATGTAACAATAAATTTGTTCTTTACAATAGATGAGAACTCAATGTAGCTCACTCTCAATTGTTACAACACTCACCAACCTAATTATGCTATGTATAAAAATACAATAAGCTCAATGTGGGTGTGTGTAACAATAAGATTTATCAAATCTAAACTCAATATAAAAACTAGCTTTAAAGAAAGATAATCAAACAAATATACAAATGTAAAGCTAGAAATAGAGTTTAGAAAATTTCTCAATAGATCAAGAGGTAGAGGTAGGATAGTTGGATGCTCAAACACCAATAGATGATTTCCTCAAGCTCTTATAAACTTATTTTCACAAAAGCGGTTGACCGTGAGATTCTCACAGTCGACCGCGAACCATATTTGAAACTGAGAAAATTTTCAAAAAGTTCTACGGTCGACCGTGAGAATTTACAGGCTGACGGTCGACCGTGGCGGTCGACCGCGAAAGTCTCTAGATGTGCTACAGTCGACCGTCACGATCAACCGCGAGCCATAAAAAGGCAAGCTGGGTTTCTGACTGCAGACAGTCGACCGTGACGGTCGACCGCAAACTGATACAAAAAATATACAGGTTTTTAAAATAGTTTTCTGATTTTAAAACCCTAAAAATATCAAATAAATTCAGAAAAAATGTAAAAATTTAGAAAATGATTGTAGACATGATAATACACATGCTACAAAAACTGGTTTTTAGAAAGAACCTCCCAAATGAGAAATATCATTATTTTACAAAATAGTCCAAAACATGAAAATGTAAACATATGAGCTTTGATATTTTAGCTTAACCATGTTTTAAAATATTAAAAAATGATTATATAGACTTAGTAAAAGATGTATATGATTATTGTTAAGTCCAAAAACCAATAAAACAATATTTTCACAAAATTGCATATTCTATGCAATATAAATTCAAACAGAATAGAGTATGAAACATATGAGTGCTCTGAAAATCAACCAAGAATCAGATAAAGTCATTGAATCTTATCTCAATGAAAGAGTGCTCTGAAAATCACACTGGGAGAGTTTTAATTATTTTGAACATGATTGATCAGCCACAGCGGGAGGTTCTTAATCATTTTTATCATGATTAAGAGTGGATTATTCAGATGGTTGGTTTTCTCCTTGAATAATTAATTGGTTTCGGGTTATCCTTAAGAATACCATACATAGCATTCTTCAGAAAGTTCCCATTATCCAGAACGTACTAGGGATAGTACTTTTTCAGGAACTTCTTGTTTGTGGGAAATGTTGTTGTTCTTGATACAGAATCAAGCCTTGGTTATTGACTTCATATTCAGTTATGATAACCTCATATCCACCCCTAGCTTTTTGGGTGAACTTGAGTCCAATCATATTCCACTACATTGTTGGAGCGTGCAACTTAAGGGAGCAATTGATCCCGACATTTGAAACCAACCAAAAATCAGATAAAGTTATTGAATCTTATCTCAATGAAAGAGTGCTCTGAAAATCACAGTGGGAGAGTTTTAATTATTTTAAACATGATTGATCAGCCACAGCGGGAGGTTCTTAATCATTTTTATCATGATTAAGAGTGGATTATTCAGATGGTTAGTTTTCTCCTTGAATAATTAATTGGTTTCGGGTTATCCTTAATAATACCATACATAACATTCTTCAGAAAGTTCCCATTATCCAGAACTGTAGGTTGTCTAAAAATCACGACCCCAAGCACTCATCCCAAACCTCTCAAGCACATGTCCAATGTGTTAGCACAAAGAAATTCACGACCCCAACAGCTACCCCATCCTGCTCTCTCACCAAGTCCCAATTCATGCAGCGGGGAACAGAAGCACATTAGTAGTAAGAGATGGAAAACATCCTATGCATATAAGGGAGGAAGAAGCGATGATCTCTGATTTGCCTTAGCCATTTGTATTGACCACCATGCACGATCTCCTTCGTGATGGTGACATGATCCCCAAATAAAAAAGCTGGCTTGGTGAGCTTCTTATGGGATTCTGTTTCGAACTTAGCATTTGTAACTAGAACCCTAAGTACAAACGAACTTGGATTCGAAATCAAAGTGACATGGTCCTTGTCGGAATCTTGAAATATTGGGAGTTCTTGACGTAGATTGAACTGCATATTTAAATCCACGCCGCCCCCACGCCCAAAGTGGTGACGAAGACTTAGAGCTTTACGGGTGTAAGGCACTGCAAAAGAGAAAAGTACTTAATCAGTCAGCAGAGAAGTAAAATAAAGGAAACTTGAATCAAATCTCTAGAAAGAGAGAAAGCCTTCAAGCGCACAGTTCTAATTTGGCGTTCAAAAAGCTTATTAACGCATAGGTTGAACTCTGCGTCAAGCCTCCTAACGCACAGTTCAAATCTAGCATTCAAAAGCTTATTAACACATAGGTTGAACTCTGCGTCAAGCCTCCTAACGCACAGTTCAAATCTAGCATTCAAAAGCTTATTAACACATAGGTTGAACTCTGTGTCAAGTCTCCTAACGCACAGTTTAGATCTGGCGTTAAAAGTATATCAACGCAGAGGTCGAACTCTGAATTAAATGTCCAAACGCACAGTAAAGATCTGGCGTTAAAAGTTTATCAACGCAGAGGTCGAACTCTGCGTTAAATGTCCAAATGCACAGTAAAGATCTGGCGTTAAAAGTTTATCAACGTAGAGGTCGAACTTTGCGTTAAATTTCCGAACGCACAGTTCAGATCTGGCGTTTAAAATTTGTTAACGCAGAGGTCAGGCCTCAACG